TCCAAGTTTTTTTAAAAAAAAATACATGAAAATGTTTTTACCTTATAGTCATATGTAATTTCTTCCCCAAATTCGATATCTTGTTTAGCGTATATAGCTATTTTTTTCTTACCTTTAATAGTTAGTATTTTTGCATTACAATTTGGCTTGTAAAGAATTGGATAAATTAGATAATTTCATTTAAACATTAATTAATAAACATTAGATTTGACAATGATAATCATGATAAAATACCTCGCACGAATGATTTATCAATCTTGCATTGTTTCCTACTTTTGTTGCATCAACAATTGTATCATCTCCAACACGAAACATATAACTGCTGTCAATTCCTTCAGCCTTGTATTTTCTTTCACGAAGATCCGCAACAGCCTGACGTATGACTTCGCCTGTATACTGTATAACAAATTCGTTAGCCTTGATACGTTCTAAGGCAAATAGTCCATAATCATGAATATGAGATTTTGCAATTGTAAGCTCTTTTTCACGAGCTTTTAATGGATTATATTGAAGAATATCCGTGTCAACTGCCAAGTCCTGATATTCTGCCATTTGTAATTGTATCTCACGTCTTTTAGCACGTGATGCACGTGAACTTGGAGCAGATTCTTTATCTTTGGCATAAGAAGTACCAGGCATTCCATAATCAACATATTTACGTTTTTCTTCTGGAGGTATTTTATAATATCCCTCAGTTCTTGCACATCCAGTTTTATGTGGACCATCATCGGGCATGTAATCTTTATATTTATATTTTTTACCTATTTTTTTTAAAAAAAATTAATTCAATATCTTATCAAATAAAATGGATATAATTGTATAATAAATAGAACAAAATATATGACAGGGAAATTTTTTTTGAAAATTCAAAACTTTATTACTATGTCAGAATCAATAAAACAAGAAGAACAACAACTAGAGCAACAAGAGGTTCCCACCACTAACAATAAATCAAAATCAAAAAAATATAGAAAAGATAAACGTAACTAAGCCTGTTTTATATTAAATGTTGATATTCTTTTGTGATTAATTTTTATTTATTATTTAGCGTGGGATAATGAAGACATAGATCATTGGAAAATCGAACCTTTTAAACCTGAAGATAATCCTCATCCTTTTACTGAAGAATCATCATTTGCAACATTATTTCCAAAATATAGAGAAAATTATTTAAAAGAAGTTTGGCCTCATGTTACAAAAGCTTTAGATAAATATGTATGTGTAATTTACATGAAATAAATATTAATAATTTAATAATTTGCATAAAATAAATAATTTAATTTAAAAATATTAGGGAATAGCATGTGTACTGGATTTAATTGAGGGAAGTATGACAGTTAAAACTACAAGAAAAACATACGATCCTTTTATTATTTTGAAAGCACGTGATCTCATCAAACTTTTGGCTAGAAGTGTCCCATTTCCTCAGGTTATTGTTATATTTTTATTATCATTATTATCATTGTTATCATCATCAATTCAATTCTGGTTTTATAGGCTGTAAAAATCCTTGATGATAATGTAGTATGTGATATTATAAAAATTGGTAACATAATTCGTAATAAAGAGAGATTTATTAAACGACGACAAAGGTTAATTGGACCAAATGGCTCAACACTCAAAGTATTTATTTGTCACTTTTCCATTTGTTCATTTCATTTGTTTATTCACTAAATATATTGATTAATTGACTGTTTATTTATAATGATGATTATTATGATTTAGGCAATAGAATTGTTAACTCAATGTTATGTATTGGTTCAAGGTAATACTGTATCTGCAATGGGTTCATACAAGGGCTTAAAAGAAGTAAGGCGCATTGTGGTTGATTGTATTAAGAACATTCACCCTATATATCATATAAAGGTATTGATCAATGATGTTGTTGTTCCTATTGATAATAAAAAATGAATGGTATTAATATTTAAAATTACTTTTTATTTGAAAAAAAGGAATTGATGATTAAGAGAGAACTTTCTAAGGATCCTCAACTAAAAAACGAATCTTGGGATAGATTTTTGCCTCATTTCAAGAAACAAAATATCAAAAGACAAAAGAATCCAAAGACCAAGAAGAAAGAATATACACCTTTCCCACCTCCACAAACCCCAAGAAAGGTAATGAATAACATTTTTTAATCTCTAATTAGGGAAAAGATAGAAAATTAAATCAATATTATTAATGGAATTAACTTTCTTGAAAAAATTATTGTAGATTGATTTGCAATTGGAATCTGGTGAATACAGCAACAAAAATAAAAAGTTTAAAAATAAATAATTAATTATATGGTCAAAAATCAAGGAAAAAAATTCAAGCAATAAACTTTTGATTTGAACTTAATACAATGAACTTGAATAAAAATCATACAATAAATATAATTTAAATTGTTTTAATATTTTCTTATTAAAACATACTATAAAAACAATTTTTGTGTGACAATTTTACATTTTCTCCAATTTATTTATATGCGAGTGACGAAAAGTTTGCGAATTTGAAATATATATATTCTACTGCAAATATTGGCGTACCTATTATCCCTTCGATGTAGATTATCGCAGGCAAATTTTCCTGCGACCTTTGCACCTTTCCACCACTAATTAATATTAACAATATTATTTTTAACCTCACCCTTGTGATAATTTTTAATTATATCGAATGGTGGTGGTAATAGTAGTACAAAATAGTAATAGTAGTAGTAGTATTAGTAATAACAATAATGTATCGAATGATAATATGTCCAGTAATAGTGACAATAATAAGATATAGTAATCATACATCAAATAATAATAATAATATATTGAACGATAAAAAGAAAATTTCCAAAATTTCTACTCAAAGGAATACATCAAGTGAAAAGAATATGTATAACGGTGATAGACATAGGGATAGGAATCATGGAGGCAGTACGTATCGTAAAATCAATTTTTAGTTTTTTAAATGATCCCATCTTTTTCAATTTATCAATCAGATTCGGTCAATTAGGAAAATATAAGTTGTTTCTTGGTAATGTGGTACGACCTGTCACTGCACTAGTTTTAAAGAAATACCTTGAAAG